CCATTTGCCGCATTTTGAATAATTTGATACAAACTTCGGTAAATTAATCACAACCAAGTAAGCGCAACATAATTGTGCTGAAAACTTTTCAAAGGTCATTGAATGAGGATGCCGAGAATTAACTCTCGCAGCTTTTGCCTAAATTGTAAACACACAGTGGTATGCTTGAGGCTTTAGATTCCTTTTCTTTTGTAAAGTGGTGTGCGAAAACTTTTGCGTTGGCTGGGACTCAAATCCAGATTTCACTCTTTCCGGAAACGTGCGAAATTATTGAAACACAATGTCTATCAGCATAAGTGGGTTCAGTGTTGATAAAAGACTGCCAACGCCAGACCGTAGATGGTTGGCTGATGACAAATAACGCGTTGTAGCGTAGAAAGAGCGGTGTGCAAAACGAGCGTCGGTGGTGCAACGGTTCAGTACACGCTCCCGGAAAGAGTGAAATCGGAGTTCGAGTCCCAGCTGACGCAAACGTTTCACACCACTCTACATTATTGGGTTTATTGTAACATCATACCACTGTATTATGCGGTCCACTAAAAATGAATTCTGGTCGTTTTTTTCTTTTCCATTGTATGTTGCTGACAACTGATCTTCCACCGCCCTTACGCGAGAGTGGTGAGAATAGCCTAGGTTTTCATGGCATATACTTGATTTGTAATTCTGCACAGCATGGATAATGTTGCTTATGTTATTCTAAGTCATAAGCATTCAAAATGTTCCACTCACTTTATATAGCTTGTGTGTACGATTTAATAAATCTTGTACTTTAGGTTCTGAAATGAGCATTAAAAGGAGGACCGGATCAAGTTCAAAGTTGGATGAGATGTTGAGAGCTGGAGCGAATGGAAGTACGTTTTTTGATTTTACTCCTACTGTGTAATTTGAACCTTGGAAAGCTCTCATAATCTATCTGAAATGGTTGATAACAATGTTCACTAGTGAATGGTAACATGAACAGAGAGTAAGGATTTCAATTAAATTCGTAGTTTTATTTCGTCTCAAAATAAATAATATCAGAACATCGAGTCGTCGATATTGATAAAGCGGTATCCTCAACAACTCATGGTTAATGAAGGAAGCTATCAATTTTACTAAGCAAACTATATCTCTGGACAATTCTCAGCAGTATCGTAATTCAGGGTTAGTTTTTACCGAAAATGATGGATTGTATGAGATGTTCGATCCGCATCTTAAAATGAATGCAGCTGATTTGGAGTGTCGTAATTTTAGGCATATGCTTTGCAGATATACATGGAGTGCAAGATGGTGCTCCATTGCTGCTTTTCAATTTTTTCCTCTTTTAGTTCAAATTTTTCCTTTGCTGAGTGTCCGTCTTTTCCAGGTTCATAATCTTGGAATCACAAAATGAGTCTTTGGCAATGCGGCGAATTGCGAAATTGATGATAGCGAAAGAAAAGCCTCAGGTTGCATCAGCTATGTCACTGCGAACCATCGATGGTAAGAAGAAGATGAATTCCAAAAAGAAGAATAGGAAAAAGGCTGGCGGAAAATTCCGTACAAGCATGTTGATAGGATAATTTGTCTGTCATGAATTTTACAAATTTCGAAAATTATTCTGCTATTATTGCCGTCATTGTTGTATATGTTTGAATAAATGTCAGAAAGTGAATTCAAGGCAAGTACGTTCTCAACATATTAATACAGTCTGAACTAGATAATAATGATGCCGCGTACTGCAGCTTAGATTGCCCAAGAAAAATATTCTTGTCGACGGGTAACAAGCAAAACACCCATCCTGTATAGATCGCCGAGTGAGTTTCCCATTTCAGCGGGGGTTCACTGGAGAAGATTCAATTTGAATGACAACAAGACTGATCCGCAACGAGAAGGAACGGGTACGGGCAATCGATTTGAAAAATCGGCTCTCAAAAAGGCGAAGACATTAAAACACCCGAAGAAACTTTGATTATCAGTCTCGCGGTATTGGATAAATTGTAAAACTGTAAGAAAAGTAAATGTGTACGTAACCAAAAGATTCAACGATGAAGAACTTTTTGAAATAAGTCTAATTATCTCGTCAAAGCCGCGACCTATGGGATAACATCGGTAATTCACAGTCTATTTTCGTCCGATATGTCAAAACTACGAAATATTGTAATAACTCAAATTACCGACTTTGCTTGAACCTCGGCATGTTTATAATATAATACCGAGAAAAAGAAAAATTTAGTTTAGGACTAATCTTTATTATAAGCTTTTGCAAGATTGATGTCACTTATTCGACCAAATGTCCTTCAACTTCACAAGTTCATGAATTTGTCGGTAGAGTGAAAAGTTGACATGAAAGTGTTACTGAAGTACAGACAACTTATCCAACCTTGAAGATTCTACTATAATACGATAATGCCAGATGGGAGTAGGCTTAATAGATCAACTGATAGCGATCGGATGACTTCTCTTAGAATTCGTTACCGCTACAAAAATCGCTGTCATTCAGGAGTGATCCCACGTTTTGAGGAAGGCAGCGTACTGCGTAATTTCAATAGGCCAATACTTGCATGCAGCCACGACCTGAGATCACGTTAATACTAGCTTTCTATTGTATGGTCGCGCATGGCAGGTAGTTGATACGTCAGCGAGGGGAGAAAATAACGTTCTTAAGGTGGAGCTAGACAACCTTGATTGAAGTGTTATAGCACAAGCACAGAACTTAAAATTAGGATGCAAATAGAGTGGTGGTGACAAGAACCTCGAAATAGAGGCCTAACCTCTAGTTTAAGCAACAACTGGGCAAACAATGTCACTCCATCCAACCGAGATAGACAGTTTGCTAGCCTTCTCTACTTTGACTCGTGACAACCAGTTGATTGCTCATGATGAGCAGATTTTTAGATAATTGTGGGATTTCGAAAAATCACATTGCAAGTGGAACAGCTGATGTGGTGATTCGGCTCGAATTATTGTGGCTATGAGAAGCCGAGAAGCCGAAATGTCAACCATGATAATGATTTGTAACAACCTTGACTAAGCCTGTCAAAATTTACTCGAGTACTTACTTGAGCGACCCACCTTCACTGCTAGTGCGGGCCCCAGCATAGCTTCCATTCTTTTCTCTCTCACGCAACTGTCGTTTACGGTGTTGATCTGCTTCGAGCAAGGTGATGTACGCGAGTCTCATTCCGTGAATCCAAACTTGTTGTTATCTGCGGTTGCAGATAGTTCATGTTAGCCACAAACACGTTAGAGTGGTCTTCCAAGAGGGCGCTTGCGTTCATACAGTCCACTCCACTGCTCGTTTCCTCCATCAACCATCTGTCCTTCTTATCAAATGGCCGACAAAACTGTTCTGCCAACAATGTGTATATTATTGGAGCATGAAGATGAGATAGTTTTCGAAGATCGGAGCTGCTCAAACGGGCTAGACGTGTGAGTGCCTGTTAATTTTCAAGAGACTTCGCTCAAGCGCCCTATGAGTGGTCGTAGACTTCTTGACGTGGTTGTAGTATCAGCCCACGTCTCTGCTGAACAATAGAGCGCTGGGACGACCGTAGAATCAAAAAGATGAGCATAAAGTTTGTGGTCTGCTATCTTGTCGGCGGTTTCTTTCAGAGGCCCGATTGTGGCTCATGCTGCTCTCCTTTTTCTGTCTAGTTCATGTTCGTGTTCGTTGAACGTAAGGGTAGACTTACGAGGTGTTTTCCTTGATCAGAGAACCATTCAGTTTGATTTGCTCAATTTCACACCATGAATTCTTCATACTGTGTCTTCGCCGTGTTTATGCGTAACACAATCTTTTTTCCGCTTCATCAAGTTCCTTGAGCATCGTCTCTGCTTCACTGGCACTGTTCGATGAAAGTTCGATAAGATGACGATGCCGTTTGCAAAACGAAGGTTTAATAGGAATTTATCAGCAATCCGTATGGCTTTTTCGTCCCAATCGAGCGACTGCACAATCCACTGCATTGCGGCAGTCAATGCACTTCAGTGATGAGTCAATTCAACGAACCGTGATCTGGCGAAATAGTGTCGCGTTGCTGAACCACTTTTTTTGATGGGTATGATTATTGGTCGATGGAAGAGCCGTAATTTCGTGCTGCAGTTCTAATAGCAGTCTGCTGATTTTCGTACAAAGAACGAATCAACACTCTGGTTGACGAGCGCTGGTAGGATTGCAATCGTTTCGATCTCGACTATCAAACGCTCTCTCATAGTCGGTAAGGGCTAGAGCAAAGGGCATATGATATTCCCGACAAACTTCAATGATCCATGAAATGGTTTGGATGTGGTTCACGCAGCAGAATCCATTACGTCATCCTGCTTCCTTAACTGGCTGTGCCTCATCTGAGATCTTCGATATGTGCAAAAAGATGATCTTTATTAAGAGCTTGTAAAATTCACCCAGGAAGCATATTGGGCGACAGTTACGAAGAATCCTGTTGTCACTCTTCTTATGTAGGATTACTGTGCTCGATGTTCTTTACTGGTCTGGAATTTTTTTCTTTTAGATATATGATGTCATATGTTTTGCGAGAATTGCATGCATATTGTGGCCACCAGCTCTAAGGAAATCGGCAGTGATATTGTCAGATTTTGGAGCTATGTCTCTCTTCATGCTTGCAGTAGTAACTCAAACTTAAGAGTAAGAATTTCGAGTTATATCTTAAAAGTGGGGATTTCGAAGCCCAAGACGGGAGTTGGAAAACGAAAAAGATTGGTTGGTATAGAAGTCATCCGTTATTGGCATTAATCAAGGCGGGATCTAGTGATGATGTCATCTTCCTTCACTAAGGGCGAGAATAGCGGCTTGATAGCTGCAGAGATCTAAAAAGCTGCAGAGAAAAGAAAAACTTCTTTAGAGTAGACCGATTTTGTACCGCTTTTAACATTTTTCTGCTTGTACCGAAATAGATCTTTTGCAAAGATCTTCTACAGCTGAATTTGATAATCACCCTAGTTAGATGTGTCGAAGAAGCATCAAAGCTCAGTTCTCTTCACTTCTCAATGAACTCCTTGGTAGTAGTGCCGATGCGATCTAAATTTTTGTTCTGGGAACTGATCTCGTTTGGTACAAGTATTGAGTCCATTGGCGAGCAGCTCGTAGTCTTCAGTCGGGTCTTGCTTTATTTGCCAATCCATGGGAGACGACTTTATTGAAAGCTTGCTCGTCGTATATGACTTTCAATTTTTAAGCGATGACAGCACTCCTTTTCCAGCTTATGGCTAAATCGAATCTTCACAACAAGAGGCGCTGGTCAAATGCCGTACAGAATCCGGTACCACTAAAGTGCTAACAAGGCACCATTTCCTGTTCGTAAGTATATTATAGATCTCCACATGAGTCGTGCCATTCAGATACTCTCATGTCCATCAACGACTATTTATTTTCAGCGGAACGGAGTCCTACAAGTCGGTCTTCGTTCTCGTTTCGTCCAATCATTCCAAATTTACTGTCCACTAATCATTTCCGCTGGCCGTATCTAGTTTGGCATTAAAGTCTCCAACATCA